TTCAGGCTTTGACAAGACTGCCACCTTGTGGTCATCTCTGTCCTTGTGTGTTGAAATTTACAGTGCAACTAAAACAACACTGCCACAATGCAGCGTACCTAATAGTCTCCACTCATTTGTTCTCTAGAGGACATCTGATTTACCACCATATTGCACTGTAAAAAGTGGCTTGTCAGATCTACTTAAAAAATTCATGTGGTAACAAGTAAATTAACTAGTTTTATTCAACCTAAATAAATACTTTGAATTTCCATCCATGTAAGTTTTAGGTTGAATAAAATAGTTAAATTGCTTGTTACCACATGAAGCAAATTTTTTAGGTAGATCTGACGAGGCACTTTTTACAGTGTGATTTTACATGTTAAATCTCTTCAGAATTATGTAAACCACCCCAACTTCACAATGTTATGGAGGTACATGAGCTCTACTACACTGTAAGCCCAAACAAAATAGCTTTAATATAAAAAGAGCTAACCTGTTGTTTAACAAAAAGTGAAGTTAAGCACTGGGGAACAAACTAGTTACTTTAAATTCAATGTACTTAAGATACTAAACACTGCATGTTAGAATAACTACATTTTTTGTGTTAGATAAACTTGAACATGTTTTCACCACTCAATAATTCTTATTATTTTAATTTAACTTGAGAACTTTAAAATCCCAGTTTGTTTATATATTTTAATAGGTAGTTACATTACTATTTCTGGTGATCTAATATTGACCATTTTGTTAAACACTGATGAGTTAACGCTTAGTGGTTCCTGTAGTACACTGCCAGCACCAAACTCAGCAGCAAGGAGAAAGCTAACTTGCCCTTCTAGCCGACAACACATGGCTTGGTGGCTAAGCAAAATGTATAAGACATAAAAGGAAAGGCAGGCTGGGTGGAATGAAAACACATTAATGGTGAGTAAAAGAAATAGGCAAGAAACACCCAATATGCAAATAGATGGAGCCAGAAGCCAAAGGGAAAGATTGTGTTAAACAATCAAATGTGTCACTGTGTTTAAACAACACAGCTTACTTAGTTTCCCTCACGGTCATACACATTTGTTGAGTAACTTTAATGAGAAAGTAATGATTAAATTATTTTTAAATGTGGCACTTTTAAAGATGCCATGGCAACAGACTAAATTAAATTGCAAGTGGATTCGACTCAAAAATGCCATGTGAATGTACGAAATCAACAAAAAAGTACCCTTAACATAACATAGTTGAGTAGTATGTGGGATATATTTAGTTTTATGTACAACAGACTTAATTTATTGGGGTTAAAACAATATGTGGGGTTACAGTGTAATACTCTCTAATTGATAAAATCCAATGCTACACGATAAAACAGTTCCAACAAACAGGGTTAAGTCAGTTTTATTGTTATTCTGATTTTCTATGTGAGTCTTCCAGCCAAGGCTGTAAATCTCAAGGCCATATAGAGAAAAGGGTTGTCTTTATAAAACATTTTGGAGACAGCTTCCAGTTGCATAAAATATATCTGATGAACACTGTGAATTCCATACTTTGTAAGGAATTAGTTAAACTGCTATATGGTACTGTATCCACTTATACTGTTTTGTGTCTGTGCTGTTATCCGGTGTCGACCAGAGGAGGATGGGTTCCCCTTTTGAGTCTGGTTCCTCTCGAGGTTTCTTCTCTCGAGGTTTCTTCCTCCGGTTGGAGTTTTTCCTTGCCACTGTCGCCAAGGCTTGCTCACTGGGGACGTGGACCCGGATTCTCTGTAGAGCTGCTTTGTGACAACATCTGTTGTAAAAGGCGCTATATAAATGAATTTGACTTGACTTGACTTGACATGGTTCCTTAAAAAGCATAATTGTTTATTTTGTATAATAAATCCTGAAAAATGTGGTATTCAGTGCTGTCACTGGCCATCCTCACAGCATTTTGAAAATGAACAAAGCTGTGAATATTGATCATCAAATGAAAAGTCAAAACACCAAAAGTACAGTTGACTATACTGGTCATTTAAGGCTAGAGATAGATGTAAAAAATAATATTAAGGAATTGAAAAGACATGGAGTGATTTTGTTATGTTCTATTTTCTCTCCTTAATCTTAATCCTGTTTAAATCTCTACATGGTGTTTAAATGACTAATTAAATATTTACTAATAAACAGAACTTGTCCTCAATCCAGTACACAACTCTAACATTTACCATATTATATTTTTGTTTGTCTGCTGTGCTTCACTACACTGCAAAGTAATTCATCTTTTGAAATGAGTTCTGAATAATATATAATTATGTTCTTCTTTCTCACTTTTCTACAGTTGTGGACCCAACAAAGCTGTTAATTCCAATTTTTGGTAACAAAGTGATGTAGAAAAAAGCGTTGTCTTTCAATAGGACACAAATAATCACATTAGCAAATTTTAGTCTTTAAGTCAAATACAGAAAAGACAGCTGGGAGAGTTTAATAAGGAAATTTTGGCTTACACTACAGGTCAAGTTGATGTAATGTTTACATCAACATCACCTGTAGTCTGAATTTGTAACCTGTTATCAAACTTTCATTGTTGTAAATGTTATTATTCTGATTTTTATGCAGCATATCGCTTACAAATGATAAGAAGGTAAAATAGCTGAACTGCAATGGCCTTATTTTCCCAAAACCACAGGGAACCACTAGTCTGCACTGGGACATGAATAGTGAGCAACAAGACATGTTCATGTTGCATATCAGAAATACATCGATTCCCAAAAGTGTCACAGAAAAATGTTGATTAAAACATCACATTGAACACCTATCATAACAACAGTCATTGTTAAGCCTTTGAGGAAAAATAAATTCACCACATTCTGTTACACTTAACATTCTTAGGTCTGATATCTGGCTGGTAGAAGACCTCGCTTTTGGAAAAAAAAAGGAATCTTATATGATTTAACCTATGCATGATTTTGTTGCATAATGCATCTAATATAAACAGAAACTGAATTAATTAATTATTGAATTAATTGTTTTTTGTTTTGTTTTTTTTTTACTTTTTTTAGGCTCTTGAGAATAAATTAAAGTAGCCCAAATGATCACTATTATAATTTGGCTATTGCATTCATGTGCTTGCTAGCTAGCACTGACTTATAGCATTATTGCCTGCATCAGCAAATATTGAGAGTATTATATTTTTCAAAGGGTGATTCATTTTCATTGTATAAGATGTGTGGGAGTGAATGGAGAACTACAAAGATGTTCAGATAAGAAGGTGAATTTTTAAATGACACTATCACTGCTAATCTCAGTTTAGGGACAATGTGCCTTTGGAGAACATTTCACCCATTAGAGGGGGCTGTTTTGCCCCAGTATTGGTGTAAAGCAGTGGTCACTAATCCTGAAGATCTACCTTCCTGCTGACTTTAGCTACAGCTCTAATCCACCCCACCTGATCCATGTAATCATTGCCTTCGGAATTGCTTGATTAGCTGAAAGAGGTGTGTTAGATTTAGGTTGTAGGTAAAACCTGCAGGAAGGTAGATCTCCAGAGAGAAGGTTAGTGGCCACTTGTGTAATAAGTCCATATTTGATTTGAATTATATTTGTATGTAAAAATAGTTTTTCTGTCAAAAACAGCCTATGGACAAGAGAATGTTCATACGTGTACACCCTGCAAAACTTTGATTTTGCCTGGTATTTTTTTTCTTAAGGGGTGTTTTCCCCCTAGTGGTACAAGGGATAGGATATAAGTTTATTTATTTATTTATTTATTTATTTATTTATTTAACTGTGGGACCTATCCAGTAGACTCAAATTCACAGTAAAAAGCACTGCTACCTGCCTAATCACCTAAGAGATTTCAGGAAGTTTTAAAATCTTAACAGTGGATAAACAAACTGTCATTAGTCAACATAAACAATGCAACTTCTATTGTCTGAATGAGAGAACAACGTGGGTGGTATTAACACTTGTTTATTTATTTAAATTCCACAATACATCAACATCAGTCAATTTTTTTTACATATGGTTTAATGCTGTAAGTAGATGTCAGACATTCTTGCTCTCATCTGACCCTGCAACAGGACATGTACGGAGTGCTAGTTCAGGTCAAAGTGAGAGCTGAGGGTTCAGTATTGTCAACACTCAACTCCAGGAGTGTCCCAGCAGTGCCAGCACAGGGGAGACACTAATTAGACTTTTCTGGCAAACTTTTCCCATGATTCATGTCCACTCCTGACCAAAAATAAACCCTGACCCTGACCATAATGACAATTTTCAAAATATAAGCATCCTCTGAAACTTGGTTCACAGTTTAGTAGGATCAGGTTTAGGATAGATGAGGTTTAGTGAGGTTTAGTGGGTTTTTCCATTGAAACTGTAGGCTGAGAGCTGACGGGTTATGTGTTCAAGCCTGGTCGTGCCTGGGGGTGACCTCATCTTTGTTGTTTCCTCACTGACGTTATGCCAGCTCTTGGCCTTCCCTTTGTGTACCATTGCTCTCAATGTAAGATTCTATCACTTACTTCTTTACTCTCACATAAGCTAAATTAGCTGCATTAAGTGGTCTTGAATAGCTGCAGTCCTGCTACACACTCGTAATAAGAACTTTCTGCTCTTTTTTACTACATTGTGGTAGCTGCTAAATACTAAAATATTAGACCCAGTAAGTAATATACTTGGTCAGTTCTTAATAATTCATATCTTTCAGGATCTTACTAAAAAGGCTGCTTTCGACATCATTTTATGACATGTTCATGTCATAGAACTCATCATCAGTGGTTCAATTATCAGTCACTTCATCAGACTGAGACTTTACCCCAAGACATCTGTCCGTGAGTCCATCTATCAGTGACATCATACACATCACACTCTGTTGGTGCCATTACACAACATAGCACACAAAAAATGGACACTCCCTCTACTATCTTGCAGGTTTATCCATCAGAACATGGAACTGAAAAACATGTCCCATCTTCAATTTGATGGCTGTGCAGAGTGCTGAATAACATGTAATAAAAGCATATGTGATTGTGGGAGAGGTGGTTATCAGACAAGACGAAAGGTAAAACAGAATTCTTTAAAACAAGCAACAAACTGACATACAACTAACTGGAACACATTCAGAAATTGCACACATTCACCACACCTATATGAACATTGCCTCACATGGACGCATGCGTGTATTCAGGCACATTAGAACACACATTCCATTATATTAATGCTCAGACTTTTTTGTGAACCACTAAAAACATCAACCAGTGGACAATATGCACAAAGGCATTGACATCGTGAAGTGCGTAAAGGCAAAAGCCGACATAGTAGCCCTTTGGGTACAAAAGGAGCATCTTGATGATGAAAGCAGGCATCATAGTTAGCAAGGGCACGTAATTCAATTCACTAAAGCCTCCTTGGCTTATATTAAATGAAATACTTTGCTGAATCAGTTCAGTCAACAGCGGATGGAATCTAAACTTTGTCTTTTATTTAACACTTTGAGGTATTCTCAAAAAAAAGCATACGTTATGAGGACTTTTCAAGATAATGCAATTTCCTTGATTACATCAAAGGGTTTTATAGGCCTGTGATGTAAAAGTCTACCAGCCACTTTCATCTTAAGCCTAAACATTTTGGCATATGTGCCTTCTGAAAAAAGCAGGCACGTAGATTTAGGTTAGGGCAACATCAAGCGGCAGTGTTGGAGGCACACAAAAACACTCAAAGATTGCAGTTCGCATAAAATTAGGGAAGATTTAGAGATGATAACAAAGAACACTCAGTGACTAAGGGTATGTCATCAGTCAACTTGATGCTTTTTTTGTGGTTTTCTGCCTATGTATGATGCAACCAAAGCTGGATGACTGTTGTCATGCTTTCTGACAAACTATGCAGGCAATGCTGTGGGAGCTCTTGGTCCTGATGAATGAAAAAAAATGCCTTTTAGTATCTCCTCTAGCATCCATGCTCTAAATGCCCTTTAGTGCACCACTGAGGTGAGCCGGTTTGAGTCCAACTTGAACAAATCTCACAAACACAGTCACACACAGATTCTTTCTGACAGTGCTCATAAACATTTAGAAGAGCACACAGATGGCATGCTAAGTTTGGTTTCACTAACTTGTTTTCCAATATACATTTCTAAGACTGGATCATAATTTTCACCAGTCCACATCTATTTATAGTCCTGCCCATAATGCCTTTTCACCCACAAAAATAGATCACAAATTCATGCAAATGAAAGGTATGAAAGACTTCTTGTTGGCACTGAAATTTTAGACCCTCTTTAGAGCAGAGCATGAATGAATATCAGTGCAATGCCTCTTATTTCCTTCTTCTGTCTTCATCTGAGGCAGAGTTTTTTAAGTATAAATGCAGTAAACAGTACATAGCTGATTGACAATACAATTTTGGCAGGCCATGTTACAAAAACAAAATTGAAACCCCCCCTCCCATCCCACCTAAACCACAAAATGTGATTTAACAACAGCAGGTCCATACTGTTCAGTGTCCTTACTACACCAGTGAGAACACTGCTTTAGGCCAGCAGTGTTATCTTGTCTTGTCCTTAGGCCTTTCCCCATACATTTACTCCTGCTTTTCCTCGAGGTAGGCTTTCACTCGCTTGCACACATAGAACGCGGTTAGGGCGCTGCAGCACGCTGTGAAGATGAAGAGTGCCACGGCATCGTGAGCCAGGTCACCATGGAGACGTTCATAGAGGGGCCTCCGCTCGCTGTAGTCAAGGCGCACTGCCTCTATCTGCACCAGCGTGCAGAGCACAAGGAAAACATGGAATATTTGGTGGCCTTGACCAAGGAAGTCGCACCGGCCAGGGAACCAGCACTCCGGGTGTGGGTAAGCGAAGAAGTAGGCACTCACCAAGAAGAAGAGGATCTGGTAGCAGTGGTAGGTTACGGCCTGGTCGGCGCAGCTCTGCTGGGAGCTGTAGCAGCTATAGATGCGGTGCACCACTGGGCTGATGTCTAAGCAGTAGGCCAGGCCTGAGGGCACCACCTGGAACAACTTGTGGGCAAACTTGGGCAGGCGTGGACTCGCATACTTGCCATAGCAGCATCCAGTACAGGAGAGCCAGGCCAGGAACGCAGCAGCGGGCAGGAAGAACCCTCGAACGCGAGCGTGCCATGCCTCCTCGACCACGTAGTAGAAGTGAGCCAGGGCACTGCCATACTGGTACACAGCCACACCCACGTAGTCCAGGAAGTAGAAAGAGTAGTGGGAGAGCTCAGATTTGGCAGAAAGCAGATGGGCCAGTGAGCTGCAGGCCAAGTAAGTGAATGCGGCTAGAAGCACTATAAAAAGCGGCTGAGCGTGGGGGTCTCGCAAGAAGTCCACGGTTTCAGACACCTCCTGGAACTTCACCAGGATGATAAGAGAGGCCAGCAGGTGTGTCCAAACGTTGACCGTCTCATTGTGCCTCTGAAAGAGTGTCAGGAAGTAGTAGCGCCAGCTCTGGTCAGGTGGCCGGTAGCCCGTGAGGATGTGAGACTCCTTAAACACCCAGGGCACGTCGTTGACGGTCACGGTGCAGGGCAGCTTTGGGAAGGCAGACTCCAGCAGCTGGGGGATCTGACGAAGCTGCTGGACGTTGATGAACAGGCGCCCAATCTGCTCCATCACTACTGTCGCCATGGTGAGAGGGAACAGAGCAAAGCACCCTGGGATCTATAGTGTGTTAAAAAAAAGAAGGACAAAGTGTGAGCGGTCTTTCTTCCTGCATTGTTTAAGACAGCTACTGGCGATGTAAGAAGACTGAGTGACAAAAGAAAATACAAAGTGCAAACCTATACAATTATGAATCAGCCATGTAGAACAAAGTGTAAACAAACAGAAATGTGAGCCATAGCCTGACTTCTCCTTCCTGAGAGATAATCTCTCAACGCCAAACAATGAATGGAAACCGGTTACGTAACGTCACCATCCAGTTACGGTGAATCCGCGTGCGCTTTCTTACGGTGCTTCAGGTTTTTACCAGTGGACCGAAGCCATTTAAAACTAGCTGTCTTTATTTTTTTAATGTAATCCTCTACACCACAACGAGCCCTGCAGACAGTGTCAGTCAGTAAAGCCCTGTGAATAATTTAGTGATGGCATCCGACAGCCAGACAATGCTCCTTTCTCCTTCAGCAGGAGCTGAACGGGTTAAATCACGGGGAAATGTGCTGGGTGCCTTAACGGATAACCGGCGAGGGGAAAAGGCAAGAAACAAAAGGAATAAACGGCATTTTTTCCATTACCGCTGACCGTTTATGCCCCCGGCGATAATAAAAATTAACTAACATTGTTCTTTATTATTCTGACAGTCACCTCAGCGCTGCAGGTCAACACAGACTACAGTTACACCATCAACGTCCCCTCGCGGTCTGTATTTAACACAGTTAAAGCCCTCAGTAAAGATGGCCAAATCACATGGAGGGTATTTTCTCATTACAGTTGTCTAAAGCTCGTGAGAGAAGTGTTGGACCTGGCTTACCTTTTTCAGCAGACAGTCCGCTCAGACGGGGTAAAGCATGTAGAGGTGACTTCTTGTGCGTATATGAAGGCATAAGCCATAAGTACCATGACGGATATGAAATATTTGCTGCTAAATTCTCGCTACGGGTGAGGCTCCTGTCAGCTCCCTGCAGAACCAGATGGCCGTGTTGAACGGACGGTTTGACAGACAGGCGGCTCAGCCAATCAGAACGACGTCTTTTCGTGTCTCGCTGTTCATTGGCCAATGGCAGAGGCTTAAGTTCTGCTGCAGCCAGTAGGATGTATGAGCAGAGTCAAACCAGACCGCCCTCTTCCTCTCAGCGTCGCCTGCTGAAAAGGATGATTCACAGTGCAGAAGGCGTTGACAAAAACCCTGGTCACGGCTGGGATGACAAATCTCAGTGCTGCTGGAAAAAAAAACCCTCTGTGACTGAGAAGGCTCATCTTATTTTAAAGTTTTATAACCGTTTATGACACAAGTCTTCAACATATATCAAGCATATGCATAAATTAAATATAATGTTGAAATACTAGGCCTGGTGCCCTAAAAACATTTCAATAAGCCCACATACCCTTAGGTACAAATTCGTTACTATCATGGAATAACATTACTTTGAGGCTAAAAGCCAAAGATGTGTGTTTGTCTGAAGCTTTTATGGCACCAGTGGGCTAGGTCTACTGTATAAATGCTTATCTCATCTCCTCTCGTTGCCCACGCAGGCGGGTGATGCTCACAATGTGGCTTTGTGAGGCCTCTGTGTGAATGGACCTCCTTCATCATGACTTTAGACAGCAGGTCCATCAGGCTTTTCTCCATCTTCTACTTTCAGTGGTAGAAGATGCAGTGACTTGCTAGGGGAACAAATAACTATCATATAGGACCTTCATTCTCTTTCGTGCCATATTAAGTTTATAAACTGTAGATTAGGTCTTTTGGTTATCTTAACAGTGATATTAACTACTTATAATGTTTGTGTAATGAAATTACGTAAATAATAAGCAAGCAGCTTGGACAAGGATATTTCAGAGCTTGATAGTCCCATAGGTAACTAAGCATCTGCCTATAATGAGGAACAGAAAATATCACCAGAAGAAACACTCGCAACCACTGAATTACACAGACAAAATCATATTTAATTCCCATGCCAAAAAGGAATCGTTGTCCATGAATAAGCATTGAGTACATAAAATGAAATTAATTATTCCATCACTTTACGAAACGGAAAATCTGTACTGCCAAGCATTACAAGGTGACTATCTAGGCTGTTTTAATAAATGTATTTAATAAATTCAGCACTTTTGGAATCACAACTGCAAGTGGGAATTATTAATTGTGTTGAATTTTGAGTTAAAGGACATACATATTAAAAATAAATAAATAACATATACTTTTATTCAGCGTGGTACATGGAAATACATAAATGACACTTACTGTATGTCCAGTGTTGTCCTCAATGGTAACATGCAATGTGTAACCCTCTGTCAAATGGTCTCAGCATAGTGATGTGCAGCATTTGTATTGCATATGTATAATTTGATCAAAATCCACCAGTATGTATTCATCAAAATTGTCTGATCATCGACCACTTGAAACAAAGTATTCAGTTAGAATGAAAACGTGTTGTGCCATCAAATGTCACTAGGTGTCAGCAGATGCAAACCTGACAAGACTTGATACAGATATTGCACGCCAACATTACCAAAAATGTCCCCTTATTCTTAAACGTTTTTGCAATCAGTCCAACATTGATTGGTATCAATTGAAGTCATACTGGTCAGTCTGCTGAATATTATTACCATGGATCTTTCTCAAATGTTTTTTTTACAGCTTTACCAATAAGGTAACTCCTGGAATGTGCTTGTTGTTAACCAGATGGACAGAGAGTTACACAGAGAGGCAGTCAGATATATATATAAAAAAAATCATTTGTTCATATATGAACATCTACAAAAAAGGGGCAGATCCAAAACTGTTACCATAACAAAGAACTGTGCAACTTTATTAAGCTCAAAGAATTTTTTGAAAGTTTTGACATAAACAGGTACAGGTCAACTTGCACAATGCAACAGACAAAGTTAGAGACCTATTTGTAACACAGGCATGCTTCCCTTTAGGGTAAAACACTGCTTATTTTACAGGTCAAAAGCGGCAGTTGGACAAATCTACAGGTGATGGGAATGCAAAGTAGATCTGAACATGGAAAGATGAAAAGAACGTTGTGCATCTGCTTCTCCCCTAAATGTCAGATAAAAAAGTGTCAGTAACACAAAACCAAACACATAATACTGGCCATAATGGAACAAAAATAAATCTTTGGATACGTAAAAAACCCAATACTATCCCCTAAAGTGAATAGAACCAAAAACCAAAAAGACAGAAAACTCAGTTCTCATCATTTTCGCCTCCATCTTTCGTCTCTTTGTTCTTTCGGACTTCTTCGATTTTCTTGTCCTAAGATGAAAAGGTAAAAAGCAACCACAGTATGATTAATATACAAATAGGAGAAGGTTGTCTGCATTTTTTCACCAAATGCAATTCTGATGTTTACGTTTTCCACCCTGAAGTTCAACACTTCTAAATTAAAGAGTAAATTAGGTAAACTGAGTGAGCTCACATGTGACACTTACCTTCTCCTTAAATTTCTCATTCATTGCAGCCATCTGTTTTGTGCGATTTTCTTTGTTGGCTTCCATTTTCTGGTTGAGTTTCTCCTCTGCCATCTTGCTGAAGTTGTTGTTCTCCTCCATCGCTTTCTGGAGAACCTCCTTCTCATGCTCTCGCTTCTCAGCCAAGTGTTTCAGAACCTCTGCCTCATGATTCTGATGTGAATAGACAAGCATATGGTATACACATAAAAAACATGAATATCATTTATTTTATGAGAAAACCAAGACCTCCTACATCCAAAAAAGGACTATTTAGGAAATATTCCATGAAAATTAGTATTATATGTGCCAATTAACATAAGAAAAAGTAGATTATTTTGCCAATACAAGTCTGTTCTCACTTTGCGTCTCTCCTCTGCTGCCTCCAACTTCTTCTGGATCTCATCCAAAGACACCTCCTTCTTTTTCGGGGTGGACAAAGGGAATTCTCCTTTTGCATCTGGTGCTGAGGGGCTCAGAATGACCTCAAATGCTTGCCCTGAAGCACGCTTGTCCAGCTCCTTAACCTGAATATCTATAAATGTTAAGACACTCCATTTAGTAACTACAAAATGCGGTATCCATTCCGATGGTGGATTCTTTAAGCTGACCTCCATAACAATATCTAGAAAACTGAATTGTAGGCTGTGTAAAAGAGCAGTTTTCCAGATTACCTCCAGAGGACGCCATTTCACTCTCAATGCTGTTGGCTTCAAATACCTACAAAATAAATGCAAATAAAGGATATTAACATCTGAAAGAAAAAAAATCTTTCATAAAGAGAACCCAGTTTCAATTTGATGGCCCAACACAACTAGTTCATCAGTGACTGAAGAAATGCACGCTTTAACAACCCTGTTGGTCCCGTACTATCAACAGAAACAATACAGGATCATCCCACACCTAACCCTGCAGCAGCTTCTGCACAACACTCTGTGCCTAATACATCTGGTTAAGACATCAGTTTACATGCTCTATAATGCCAAATGATGTGACATAACCTGAAAACAGCTAAGCTCTTGGCTGTGATGTTCAGACATCATTGTCTGTCTCTTGGGTATGCCTGGACTGGCACAGGGCATATAATGATGATGGTCCAAATATTGAAGGAGAATCATTAAATTCAATGACATACAACAATGTAACGATGTGAATGCAGAAGCATTTATGGAATTTCATGTGCATGGTCAGTGGTGAATGATGTGGTGTAGTCTGTGAGCATGGGCAATGGCAGCCAGATCTGGGAGTGGTGTCGCCCCATCAGACAAGACTCGTTTTTTTTACTGAATCGACGAGCAGAAAAAAACACTGCTCTGATTTTAAAGGAGGCAGTCCAGAAAAACAAAACGGTAAAATGTGTCGATTTTCCATCAAATTCATTTGTCCTCCTCGGTTCAGGGCAAGACGAGTAATAATGAAAAGGGTCGCTGTCACAACAGCCTGAAGCACATACAATGCAAACAGTGCCGCAAGGTATTAACCTGCTATCAGTGCTAGTAGGTAAAAACGAGACATTTGACGCTATAATCCGTGAGAAAGATCAAAGCCATTACACAACAAGCCCACTAATCGATGTAAGGTGAGCTAAACGGCCGCCGGAGGATGAAAACAAAGGAGATTTTGTGCGGTGGACGAACAAAGACGGGAGCCGTCTCCTCCAGCGGATCTCAGAGACGACCAACTTCACTGAGGATGATGATGATGACGGCAGCAAGACTAACGCAAATTATAATTCACACAATCCTGAAGAAGACACGTGCTAACAACAGTCGGATAACATCATTAATAGTACTAGACGAAACAGCTATATTCGCTACTCCCATTAGGGCGTGTGATGATGAATCCCACCGTCAGCTGGGGGCTTCACTTTTTACTACAAGACATCAATACAATACGAGCTACAATTACACCAAATTATCAATAAATGACATAAAACAGTGATTCTGAAATCCGAACCCTTCTCGAGACAGCGAGGTTAGGATTAAATGATGACTGTCACATGGCGTAACCAAACCTGTCACACCCAGCCTCGCTCGTTTTTGCATGTAAAATTGCATTATGTAATATTAACTTAAGCAGGGCAGATATGCTGATGTGAAAAGTATAAACTGCATTCAGCTTCAAGCAGATCAGTTCTAAGTAGCTCACTGTCTCCATTTTAGTGGGAAACAATCACTGGCAGGTGCTCGAAGAAAGAAAGGCTGCAAACAAAGACAAAGACTCTGCTGTCTGACATTTCATGACATCACCTTTTGGCATTTTTACCCCACGTATTTTTTAACCTATCAATGCCAGAAAGATTCAGTGAATCATGAAATTCATGAAACTGTCAAGATGAGACAATTTCTAATATCTAACGTAGCTACACCTTGTCGTGTAGACACAGCTCGCTTTACTAGAGATTCGGCGGCCAAGCCTGTCCGACAGTCAACCTACCCAGCTAAGAGAGGCTTCGTTTACAGATCCACTTTAAACAAGCAACATTTCACATTTTTCACTAATTCCACTCACAAACCTTTTGTTCTACAATGATATATCAATATCGAGCTCAGCTGCGCTAAGAAGTGCCACTGAACCTCGACAACACAACAAAGGTAATCACAACTACAATCAGACTGCTAACATCAGATTACTGAGCTAATCGACCGAGCGACATTAATTACTACACGGCTAACAAGCTAACAAGTTCCCGTTATGTTTGGAGTTTACTGTCTGCTTTAAACACAATATTTCTGCTTACAGTTTTACATTTAAGCATGAAAACACTATTCATTTAAAAATAAGACATTCCCAGGTTCAATAATGGCACACTTTACCAAAAACAGCGCTGTAAAATCTGTATGACTTACACACCCACCTCGGATGCTGTTGACAGAGTCTCTACAGGCTCTCAGTCTCCTCTCCGCAGATTCACTCAGCACCGCGGGAAAAAAAGGACCAGAGTCGGCTACGTCACGCTGGAGGCGGCTCTGATTGGATAAGTGAGAGCAGCGAACGTGTTCTAAGAATTTTGGGATATGTAGTTACATTCAGAGCTTTGTGTATGTTTGTGTCCTGTGTTCTTTCTGCCCTTTTTGCCCTAATCGCTGCTCTCAGTTGTCCAATCTGATTACATTTTAAATCTTTGGATTGACATTTTTGAAGGTTAGATTCATTCATTCATTCGTTCGTTTGTTCGTTTAACATAAAACAGAATTTTAGCGACCTCAAAAGTTCTGCTAATTTCTGCTTTGTTTATGTGTTTGACTGATATTAATCGTTAAAAAGTTAAACTTAAAAGCGTGAGTTATATGTTTTAGATACCTAATTACTGTTGGCTCAAACATACTTACATACATCTATTGTACTCAAAAATGTTCCCATTTCATTGTTGCCTGTCAAATTCAGTTAATTTTGTTACTGAGGCTCTATAGGCTGCCTGTCTATAGGCCTCATAATTTATACTGAAATATATTTACCACATATCATTTCTTTGTTTAATGCATCCTGCTACATTCCAGGAAAAAAAAATACAAGTGTATCTGTGTTTTTAAAAAGGTAGATCGATTTGTGGTGCTTGTATTTGTGCTTTGTGTGTGTGACCTTTAGCATCATTTTGATTTTAAATACAGCAACACGCCACTGTCACCAGTAATGTTCTTGTGTACTGGAGAGTAAACATGACACACTGCTGAACCAAGCACGTAATTTGCAACAACAGCCACGAAGCACACATAACTTCATAACCATTAAAGTTGATCATTTAGAATATTGCAGGGTGAGCATGCTATGAAATTGCTATATAAAATATGAAATCCAGGCACAATTGGGAAGAATAGTATTGCAATCAATAACGATGATGTTAATAATTTCATTTATTGGCAGAGAAAATGGATTTGTTAGCATAGCCTTTGTGCTGACCCATCACATACTATATGTACAGGGATCCTGAAAACCTAATGATAAAAAAGTGCTTTATATGTGGACATTTTTGCGAATACATGTTCAAGTGTGTGAGTGAGAGGACATAAGCATTGCGCCAAAATCATGCACTTTATATTTGATATGCTCTGAGAGGAAAAAAAGTTGTTCCCTTTGTCATATGCCAACATTTTCAGTGTTAATTCTCTGCGTCATATTTGCTCCTCTGCTGGCCTGACTGAGTATTTGCTGAGTTAAGATGTTGGAACTGGGTTCTAAATGACATAGACTGTCAGATATCACAAAAGAACAAGTTGCCAAAAAATGCCAAAAATGGAGAAGGCTGACCACCAGCCTGTCTGCAGCCATTCTCAGCATGAATAGACTGTTTTGTTTAGTGAAGGCAAGGACTCTTTTGAGTGACAAAATTACAGTGATTGGTACAATTTGCTATATTTTGGCATTTCAATCATAGAGTTGCCAGGTTTTGGGGGACTATGAGACTACTCCAATCTTTCTGACTCATTGTTAGAATAAACACAGAGAGTAGATAGTTATCACATTTTTGCTAGTCTTCATGAATTCATAATTACTTTCATTACTTGTCCTTCTGTTTATTCTATTTCATGATTTGCAAGCTAAATCCAGCAAAGCCAACATCAGTTTCTACTAAGGGGAGAAGTCTTTTTACGTGAAACTTAATTTGATGAAATCAAACACAGAAAATTGCGACAGCACCTTTGCTCAGTATTCACGTTATGAATTACAGTGAAGACGCCTCAATAAGCTAGGTACATATTGCACTCCTATTACAGGCAGCTATTTTACATGGACATACAGAAACACTGCAGTGAAAATGAGGAAAGCACAAGCAAGTACAAGCAGAGGTGAGTAGTAACTATAAGATTTAATTAGTTACATGTACTCAGGTAAACATTTGATGGATTTGTTGTTGACTTCTATTTCTACTTGTTTTTGAGGAGAGGAAACTACTTTTTACTGAGTTAATTTTAGCTGTTAAAATTTAATTACAAGTTTACCTTTTTGGGTTTAATTTCATTATGTCTTTGGTGGTAGTGTCTTTACTGCTTTGCAATGGGTCACATCTCTGACCTGATATTTTCTTATTAGTTCAGATAATTAAGATATCAAAATGAGACAAATCGTGCCTAACAAACCTCAGTTCCTGTGCTGTTAGTTGCTGAATGTACTAAGAAGCTCCACAGCTGCTCTATATTTTAGTCAGTGCTTAGGCAATTTTTTGACCTGATACATTTTATATGTTTTGAGGAGATGCTTTTACTTTTACTTGAGTCATTATAACAGCAAACTATCAATACTTTTTCTTGAGTATGAGTTTAGGCTTCTCTACCAACCTTCTCTGCCCAAGTCATTCTTTTATAAAGAAGCAAAGAAAACCACAAAGATCGGACAAGGCAAGATTTCTTCCATTGCAAGTAATGCAAGCAACACAGTCAGAGCTATTCAGTTCTACAGTGTAATTGTACCACATCCTGACATCATTACAGGTATGATAGCAAGATAATGGCTGCACTTCTATGCATGTTATGTGTAAATGTTACTTGAGCAGGGCTAGTTTTGTGTTCTTTTGTGTTTCATGCTTCAGTGCATTTGCTCTCTGATTGCAATCCGATCTGAACTTTAGATAAATGGCAAGCCAGGTCATCTTGGCATTCAGGATGTTTGGAGTTGGCATGCTCTATCTCCTGCTGATTGTTTTTCAGTGTCTTGTGGCCATGCTTGTTATTTGTGTCTGAGCCACAGAAACCTCTCGCTGCTTGCATATACAATATAACACGCTTGTGGGCACCTTTATTTTTAAGAGTGTACAATAGGCCTGTTTGTCATACAGTCATCGTTTAGACAACTTGAGCATTTCTGTATATATGATGGGACCTACTGTTGATTTCTCCTTAGCCATCCCCCAGCGCCCCGCCCAACCTCTCATTCATCTTATTGTAATAGAGCCGGCTTAGCAGACAAGCTGAAGGGAAAGGATAGCAGATGGTTCAGGCTGCCTCACACCCTCCCTGGGGTCACTGGCTGCATGTTCAAAGACAGGGGGGTAGATAGGGACACAGAGACCCCCTGCTGTATGCAGCACTCTCCCACTAGATGTGATGCACTGATTTGGTGTCAAATCATTAAATTGTCTGTTTAGAATGACGAGCATGCAAACAGAGCTTGTGTGTATGCAGTTTGGTTAGAGATCTTCCTCTTAAACACCTTTTAATTTGGAGGCAGAAAAACATTTTCAGATGAACTTTCGAGTCTACGTGGGGGTGGGGTGGAGGTCACATGAGGAGGTTCTTGGCGTGCTGCTATATGCATAGAAAATGTACAATATGAAAATATTTATTATGTTAGTATTCATATTCACACAAATATATCTTGATTACATAATACTGTCAACAAACCTGGCATGATTGTTGTGTAATGCAGTATATGATGTTTGAACTATATGAGTCACAGAATGATATGGAATAAAACTCTAAACATTTGATATATAGGCTGACTTGGCAGAGTTTGTGTGTGCTGTCTAACACCTAAAGTGATACTGAATTCTGGGGCTAGTTCTGTAAGCCAGTGCACATGTTAGGTCATGTGAGCAACGCCAGCGCAACATCACTCAGTTTGCGGTAATGTCTACTCTACTTATTACATTTGACCAGAGGATTAGATTTTTATTCCAACATGGTCTTTGTAGCTATGTAACACAAATGTTGTTGTCTGCTGACAGTTAGTCCATCACAACAGACTGTCAAAGCTAATTCATCTACCACCAGATGTGCACTATGTGTGTCCCGTTTGCATCAGATGTGCATTACTAGTTGAATGCAGAAAGTAGAAACACCAAATATTTTGCAGAAACAACCTTTTGGCTGGATCAGGATCTATTGGCATCCAGACAGTGAGACTGAGGCACTGTGTGTTCCATGCGTCGCTGCCAGTGACCCAGTTTCATGCCATAATACACGACAGGACAACCTCTACCTTGAATAAGACCAGAATGCTTTCTGATCTTAACTGAAGCTATAATGGTGTATTACATGGTACACTATGATTAAGAGGCTTTTTTCTAATTCCTAAGCTCAATCTGGAAAGCAAACATTTAACTCAGGAGATTTAACACTCTTGCAGCTTCGTTGACTTCAGATTTCAAAGCTTCACTTGGCTCCTTGGGTGAAATCATGTTGCATGACATCACAGTGTTACGTAACATGCATGCTCTCTTCCTCCCCTAAAAGAAATGCAGCCCTTCCCCCACCCTGGCAATGATATCATACGCTCACATGGTCTGCACATGCTGCTGTACACAAAACATACCGAAATCCCCCCTCCCTCATTTCCCCCCCTCTGCTCTATCTCTCTCTCTCTCTCTCTCTCTCTCTCTCCCTCTCTCTCTTTCTCTATCTCAAAATATAAATATAGGCTGGACCCCAAGGCAGGAGTTAGAAAAGCACTCATGCCTGAGCAGTTATCTTATGAGGTATCTTATATACACACACACAAACTATATGGCCAAAAGTATGTGAACACCTGACCTTAACACCTATAAGACCTTGTTGGACATCCCACTGCAAAAGAGGGGATGCTGCAAAGAGGGAGTTGACCCCTTCTTTGTGGCTATAGCAGCCTCCACTCTTCCAAGAAGGCAAAATCTACAAGATTTATGAGTGTCTCTCTGGGAAATTTAGTCAAAAGAGCATTTGTGAGGTCAGATGCTGGTGTTGGATGACAAGGACTGGCTCGCAATTGACGTTCCAAATAATCCCAAAGAACATAGTGGGATTGAGATCAGAGCTCTGCGCAGGCCGCTGGAGTTCCTCCACACCAAACATGTCAAACCATGTCTTTAAGGACCTCACTCATTGGACAAGGGGACAGTCATGCTGGAACAAGAAAAGGTCTTCCCCAAACAGGTGCCACAAAGTTTGAAGGAAATAACTGTCTAAAATGTCTTTGTATGCTTTGGCATTAACATCACCTTCCA